GAGAGACTAAATGACTAAAAACAATTAAGAGCTTAATGATGAATGTCGTAGCCCATTTTGGAATGAAGTCTAAGAAAGAAATTGGGGAGCCCTTTTTTTATCTTTTTAAAAACTTTTCATTTAACGACAATTTCAAACTTGCAGAAACATTGTAAGAATAACAGAGAACTCTTGAATATCATTTATTCAAATTCACTGATTTTTAACATTTAGGTACATTTACTTTATCATTCTCTCTCTAAATATTTTGATTTATTTTTTCTGAACCTTTTGAGAGTAGGTTACTTACAACATGCCCCTTTACTTCTTGACATGTCAGTGTGTATTTTGTAAGAAAAGAGATAATTTCCTTTACATAGCCACTACACAGTTCTCAAACGTTGGAAGAGACATTTATCTATGGTCCATATTCTAATTTTGTTAATTGTTCCAATAAATCTTATATAGCACTTCCCCCCCGCTCCCGACGTAAGTTCCAGTTAAGGATTATGTAGAGAGGTTAGTTGTCAGATCTCTCTGGCCTTTTTTTTTTTTTCTGTCTTTCATGATGATTATTTCATAGAATGCTCCCAGTGTGGGTTTGGTTGATGTCTCTTTCATAATTAGTGTCAAGTAATGTTGTGTCTTTCTAAGGATATCACACCTGGAGGCACATGATCACCCCATCAAAGTGTTGCCTAGTTTCTCCAATGTACAGTTACCATCTTCCTCTTGCAAGTAATACACAATCTATGAGGGGATAATTTGAGAACATGAAAATATCCTGCTTCTCATCAAACTGTCCTCCCTAGATTCAGCATCCATTGATGATGTTTTGCCAAAGCAATCTTTACTATGATGGTTGCAAAATGGTGATTTTTTTTTTCTAATTCCACCACCCACTTACTTTGTATTTATCATTCTTATTTGAGGAACAGTTTTCTTTTTCCCTCTTTTATCCATCCATCTATCTTTTCATCACCTATTTATCATTAGGATAAACTCATGGATTCCTATTTAATTACTATTGTTACTTATTTTGATACTCTAATTATCCCAGATTTGGCCCTTCAAGTTGGCTCCCTTTGACATGCCCCATTTTTCCCCCCTGAGGAATTCCTTACTTTCTGGCACAATAAAATATTTCAGGTCATCTTGTATCTTCCTCCTCTAGTCCTGAAATCAGCCATTTCACCAAGGAGACTTAGTTCTTTTTTGTGGGGAAAGGTATTTAGAAATCAAGATCTGGGTAGGAATTCTTTAATTTTGAAATATGTTTCAATCAAAATAAAGAAGGATATATTTCAATTTTTAAAACTCTTCATATGTATGGCTTATTTATCCATTTCCTCCCTTCATCCTCCTTTCTGGTAAGATAATAAAAAAAGCATTTCAGCTTGTTTTTTGGATTCTTCTATTCTTCTTGAATATAATTAATTCTGGCCACATTTATTAGGCAAGAATATTCACTGCAACAGCAACTATGGATCATATCTCTAAGTAGCTACTCAAGTATATTGTGTCCTGAGAAGAAATATGTGATAGAAGACTGCATAAGTTTTGAAATACTGTAAGATTATGTGTGGAACCCTGAAGATAAGCGTAATGAAACACATGACATCTCTTTGAATTCATTTTAAAGAAATTGAATCAAAGTTCTATAAAATAACACTTTATGTAATCAGATGCTTGTTGCATCTGTTTTCCTTTTTATGGTAGGTGTGATACGTTGAAAACCACTGTGGTTACACCTCATCTTATTATTTTTAGGTGATAAAGGCAGGTGAACTACAAAAATGCTTTAAAAATATATCAATTTCTATTTTAACAATGAAATTAAATATGTACTCTGTCTCTTGATAACACAGGTATTTCAACGGCAATATATTTTTGAAATAGTGAAGATGAAATAAGAGATCATACTTTCTGCAGTAAAGTCCTAGTCCAACTCCATTTCTTTGTTACATATACTTAGCATTCATTCCCAAACCTACGTGTGCCTGGGAATCACCTGGGACAGTTTTTTAAAAATCCAGATTCCTGAACTCCATCCGGCTCCACTGAAACAGCGTATTTTAAAAATCTCCCCCAGATAATTCTGAGGCATTTGATCCTTAAAATGTTTTGGGAACTATTAAAAATGGCATCCAAAAGAAAAAAATATTTACATCAGGGTGAAAATCTCATTATATATACAAGTTGCCCAAGGACAGGAACTATGTCTTATAAATTTTTCTAAGTGCAGCACTTGCTATGAGCCTTGCATATAGTAGGCATTCCATACATGCTTTTAAAAGACATTTTGACTTCGAATTTTATTTGTCACCAAAGGAGTCTTATTATTAGTTTGTGCAGGGAATACAAACTCATTTTTAGTGATATTATGTTTGTGTGACAAGGGAATACCTTGCACAGCAGCCTGAAAGACGATATTAGGTTGGTGAACCAATTTCTAATGTAGAATATAGCTATTCTTCGTTATGACCCTGAATTCTGCTAACTTACTCTGTACCCTGGAAAAATGAAGAAAGAATACTACTCACTTTTATAAGACTGGGCTAGTCTGTCAATCATCTCTATCTTGTTCCCCTTTCCACTAAATGTTCTACCTGATGCCAGAATGATTAGATAAAAAGCATAAAAGGGTAGCTAACATTTATATGGTTTAAGACAGTTGTTTCTCAAAGTGTGGTCTGAGGACCCCTGGTGGTCCCTGAAACTCTTTCAGGCAATGCATGTGGTCAAGACTATTTTCTTAATAACAATAAGCCTTTATCATTCTCATTTTCTCTTGAGTGTACAGTGGAGTTTTTCAGAGGCTACATGATGTGTGATATCAGAATAGATTAAATGCAGAAAATAAATGAGAATCAGCTGTCTTCTATTAAGCCAGATGTTGAAGAGATCTGCAAGACATGTAAAACCATACTCTTCTCACTAATTTTTTAAAAAATATAGCTAGTTTTCATTAAAATGTTAGTCATGTCAACATGTAATGGGTTTATTATTGTTTTAAATGACCAAATAAACATTTTTTAAATTTGTTTTAATTTCTAATACAGTAAATATTGATAGATATAACACACATAAACATAAACAAAAGCTCTTTGGAGCCATCAATGAATTTTAAAAGTGTAAAGGGATCTTGAGAACAAAATGTTTGAGAACTAATGGTTTATAAGATGTTTTTTACATGTTATTTGATAATCAGTTCAGTTGGTTGTTTATCCTCAGTAGTCAAATATTGCCTAGAATGAGGACTGAATTTCACCAATTCTTAAAAATTGATTTTTGTTCAACTGACTTCTGTATTGATGATTTAACATTCTTTTTTCCTTATTCTGAGAAACAGTTGATTTAGCTACTACTTAAGGCTCTAGGAGCCTCCAAAGTTTTCCATAGTAATCTATAACACAACTTGAAATTCCCATCATAAGGGTTAATGGACATGCTGCCTGGGAAGGATAATATGCTCAGTATCTATTAGTGAAAGAGAAAGGATTCCTTTGTCAGATTTCTCACTTAACAGGGAACAAGTTCTAAATGGAAAGAGGCACAGAAAAGGTACATTTTGATAGCTAGGAAGCAAATCAGCAAAGATTCGTAACTCCTCTGGCAGATAGATCCAGGGTTGTTGTGTGCGGTGAAGTAGATTCCAACTCATAGCAACCCCACGTGACAAGAGTAGAACTGCCCCCATAGGGTTTCCTAGGCTATAATCTTTATAGGAACAGATCACCAGGTCTTCCTCCCAAGGAGCTTCTGGTGGATCCAACAGCCAACCTTTCTGGTAGCAGCCAAGTGCTTAACCATTGCACCACCTGGGCTCCTTTTTAGATCTAGGGTAGCCAGCGGATAACATTACAAAATACTGTTTAAGAGTCCCGACTTTGATGTCTTTCAGATCAGATCCGTGTCCCAGCTACTGCATTACTTAGGAGTCTTAGCCTGCTTCCTACCTGCAAATGAATAAAAACAGTACCTATGGCATAGGGTGGTTGTAAACAAACATTGAACACGATAAATGTTCAGTAAATGTTAGCGAATATAATCTGATGTTCTTAGGTTAGTGGGGAGGGTGGGTCCTCTGAAGAGAAATGGAAGAAAATAGTTGATTTTGCTTACTTCACTATTTAATCCAGTGATAGTTCTATCTGCCTGCTTTTGTTTCCATGGCTGTAGCTTTTTCTACAGCTTTCCTAAGTAAATCCTTGAAGAAACTTTTACTTAAAAGTTCTCTGGCATGATATTTTCATTCTACTTCCATAACAGGAAAGAGGATCCTTTCCATCCCCACTTATGATAGCAACATCTCTAGAGAAACACATGCTATTAGTAGCTTAAGAACTAAACTCTCCAATAATATTACTTTTCAAATAAACCACTGTAATACGCATTGTTGTTGTTAGGTGCCAGCGAGTTTGTTCCGACTCATAACGACCTATGTACAACAGAACAAAACATTGCCTGGTCCTGCACCATTCTCACAATCATTGCTGTGTTTGAGCCCATTGCTGCAGTCACTGTGTCAATCCAACTCCGTGAAGGCCTTCCTCTTTTTCGCTGACCCTATGCACACATGGTTGAAAAAGTGGTGAAGTTTCTAAATCCAAAAATGCTACATGATAAGGAAATTTTCAGAAAAAGCCCAAAACGAAAAGCAGTTGTTTAAGTAAACTACAATTCCCAACTATGTTCCAGTTTTATTTTCACCGGCTTGTTTTTGCTTAGCCAACAAGTGCACAGGTATTAAGAGGCGTGGCGGCAGTCAGAGTAAACCTCTTAAAAGACTCTTATAACCCGGTGGGACACTAGAAGAAACAGCCTACTGGTTTCAGGAACCCACCGCTGCCGCTTTCCTGCGTAATCACTACCGGGGCGGGGCCCGATACCGGGGCGGGGCGAGATGCTTTCCCCGCCCCTTCCCTCTTCTGTTTCTTCGTGCCCCTCCCACATGCTTTTCGCCACGATCCCGACAGGCGCAGCGTCTAGGAGAGTCACGTGAGAGGGGGGTTGGAGGTGGAGGCTTGTCTTTGCTTTTTCTTCGTCTCTGTGGCTGTCAGAACTGGTGGCCTTTGACTGGGAAGCTGCTGGAGCTCGAGCGCGGACGGGTGAGTCTTGGAGTCGGAGGAGCGGGAGGAGACAGCTGTTTAGGGAAGGAGTGGACGTGGGGAAACAGCTTTAAGGACCTGACCTCCAGGACCAGCCATTTATCTGTCCCGGTGTACCGGCGACTTTTCACCTCCGGCAGGATAGCGTTCTCTGCTTGACGCGCTCAGCTCAAGGGGCAGAGTGGAGTCCTCGGTCCTGCCTGCTTTCCATCCTCCGTTTTTCTTCACCACACCCACCTCCTCCCTGTCCCGGCATAACTTCTACCAGTGCGGCGTTTCCAACCACAGGGTTCTCTAGGGCGCCGACGTACCTCTCTTCGCTGATGCCCTGGAGGCGGGCAGCCCAACTCACTCACCGGGGACGCAGTTCTTGAGGGAGTCGCACCGCTGTGGGGATTTGTGGATGGGGATGGAAGTGGGTGGGGGAGTTTACAGTTGGAGTTCTGATGAGGGGGAATATTAAGAGTGGAAAATTATTGGGGACCCAGAGGAACAATACAAAGTTCGGGCTTCTCGGACTGTTCAGCCTTTATCTTTTCCAGCTCCATCCCGTTCCCATCCTTTCTCCCTCAAGTTTCCTTCTCATCATTCCATCCTATCCCACCGTACGATGTTTTGAGAATGAACCGGGTGTTACTGACTGTATGAATGCGGGGAGAAGAGTTTAAAACGCGCTGCTCTTTAAGTTGCCATCTATGTAATCTTACGGTTTACGGTGTTAGTAAAAGGCTAGTAAATATAAATAGAATAAACAAGAAGAATAAAACATTTTACTCTAGGTAAAGGATTAGAGTAGAATGTTTTATTCTCCTTGTGGTGGTGGTTAAGAGCTACGGCTGCTAACCAAAAGGTTGGCAGTTCGAATCCACCTGCCGCTCCTTGGAAACCCTATGGGACATTTCTCCTCTGTCCTATAGGGTCGCTGTGAGTCGGGATCGACTCGAAGGCAACGGGTTTCTTTCTTTTTTGTTTTTTTTTTGGTGGTACCTGAAAAGACATTTTCTTCCTGTTCTTTTATAAATAGATGTTTCTTTCACACTTTGTTGGGTGGCTTCTTGCATATACCTTTGTTCATGTTAAAGTTATGTGGAGGTGATCTAGCAGTATAAGAAAAGAGTTTGCAGATAAGGTGAAAACAAGTTTGGAGTTGATAGCTGTAGGAGAGTTTAGGTTTCATTGAACCATAGGACAGATTAATCGAATGTCGGCATCTTGAGTCCTCGGTGTTGGCCATGATGACCAGCTGCATGTCTTTCTGTTGTAGTTAAGGACAGGTAATGAGCTTGTTGAATATTGCCTTATTCTTAAAACCTTCTAGAAAGTAACTGCCACTTACCTGTGAGGAGATGGCTCTGGCCAGTAGCTATTCTTTGTCCCCACCTTTGATAGGTCCCTGACCATCTCTTCTACTTGAGGACATTGCTCTGTCCACCTGATTATGTCCAGAAAGTGTCAGTGACACTTTCTAAGTTTCCTTACTCAGTTCATGAAACACAAGGTAACATAAACAAAAAGCAAAGATTCAGGAGTGGGTTGTGTGCCTGGGGAGGAAAGGAAAAAATGATAGAATGATGAAACCTAATAAAAGCAAGAGTAAAAGCATGTATTGCTAGTTTCTTTTATACTCTGTAGAGCATTTCCTATATTCAGTAGACTTTTGCCACTCCGAAGGGGTTCCTCTTGAGACTGAATTTCCTAAATTTGAGAATAAAAAATGGTATGTCATTTCTCCCATAAATCAATATTATGTGAAATAATTGTAACTGAAAGATTTAACTGACCCCGTCAGACCTTATGTTATTCAGAATGGTAGAACTAAAGTAACTGATAAAGCTATTAAACCAGATTTTGCCACTTTTTAATCTTTAAAGTTAGTTTTACCTCTTGAGCAATTTTTACAATGGCTGCAGCACTTGCTGAACATTTAGGTTTTTTTTTTTTGTTTCCCTATAGGGTTGTTTAATACATCCCTTTTTAAATGAGAACCAATTAAAAAAAAAACTGTACTCACAACTTTATTTCCTACTTGAAATGAAAATGGCTTTATTTTGCGCCAAGGGAAAAAGTTGATTTTTTTTTTTTTTGCATTTTTTTTTTTTTTATTGTACTTCAGGTGAAGGTTTACAGAACAAATAGTTTCTCATTAAACAGTCAGTACACATGAAAGTTGATTTTTTTAAGGCAGATACTCTATTCGCTTGGGTAAATTATGAAAAAATCGTTAATGCTCGTAAGTCATTATACTTTTCCTATTATAAAAGCAATACGTGCTTATTTTTTAAAAATGTAAAATTATGGAAAGTATAACATCAAAAGTCGAAATCCCTGTTTATCTTTTCCCCTGTTGTTGTTGTTGGGTGCCATTGAGTCGATCCCTACTCATAGTGACCCCATCTGACAGAGTGGAACTGCCCCATAGGGTTTTCTTCACTGCAGTCTTTACAGAAGCTGATTGTCAGGTCTTTTTTCCTGTGGAGTCACTGGGTGGGTTCAAACCACCAATCTTTTGGCTAACAGCCGATTGCTTAAGTTAACTACCGGTTCCTTTTGTATGTTTGGGATCAGTAGTTAAGACTCTGGAGTCAGACCCCTTGGGAAAGATAACACTGCTAGGCTTACATCCTGTTGTTGTTAGTTGCAATTGAGTCAATTCCGACTCATGGCCACCCCATGTGTGCAGAGTAGAACTGTGCTCCATAGGGTTTCCAAGGCTGTGACCTTTTGGAAGCAGATTACCAGGCCTATCTTTTGAGGTGCCTCTGGGTGGGTTCTTAACCATCTGTGCCACCGAGAGACTCATCCTTTGATCTTAGAAATCCCAGAAGAAAGAGAACTTTTTTATTTTTTTTTGAGTCTTTTTCTTTTTTTATGGTACTTCAGGTGAAGGCTTACAGAACAAATAGTTTCTCATGAAACAGTAGTACGCATGTTGTTTTATGACATTGGTTAACAACCCCACAACAT